CTTAGCTAGAGAGGATATATATAATTATTGTGCCCGAGGCAGATCCAGTTCTTTTTCCTTGAAAGAATAACTTGTACAGATGAAGAAAAAACGAGAATGAATCGAAAGATTTGGAAGTAAATTTTGTTACATTTTGTTGGAATTGTTATTGTTGTGTGTTTGTTATTGTTGTCATTCAACATTAACTAAACGACTTGCATGTTTACTGTATTGTAGTTTTATAACTTAAGTATACGATTCGAATGTTTAATGTATAGACTCATCTTCATTAGGTAGATCATCAAAAGGCAGTTCATCATAAAAGGATTAAAATGATAGAAACTTATTCTCAGGAAAATCTCTTAAAATGGATGAGATTTGCTATATTTGTAGAAAGGGTTAGTTTAAGGTTCAATGAAATAATAAGATGAAATGTTTGTTATCTTCAACAAAATTCATAACATAGATGATTTTAATACCTTTTTCATTGAAAGACTTTGAAACCAAGTAAAGTCTCATATTTCTTGGTCTGGAATGATTTAGAAGTTCATCAACAACTTCGTTGCCAGAACTTTGATCAAGATAACGTATGTGTTTGGTCTACTTTGTATTCTCTCATCAAAGTTTTCCAAATTGAATAAATTTATGTTTTGAGATTTAATCAACTATCTTTCTATAGAGTCAAGAATAATCTTGGATATGAAGTTGGTAGTGTGAACTTTAATTCAAGAGGCTTCTTTCAAATGCCTTAGTAAAGTATTAGTAGATGTCGTAGAATTGAACTTAGATAAAGGGTTTTACTTTCTTTCACAAAAGTGTATTAATATGTTTTTGAAGAAGATGTCGCAACTGCTAATGTGACTAGTGAGTAAGATCAGTTAGGATCATTTGTGCAGCAAACCACAAGCGTAGACCGACCTTCCAAAAAGTATATGGAGAAAATAAGAGAGCTTTGGTTTGAAAGAGAGGATAGTGGGAAAGCATTTTTCGTGTGTCCCGTAAACTTTTGATTCTTTTTGTGACACGTTTCTACAATAAGTTAAACGAGAATATATGTTTGTGATATCTTCTAAATCACATGATCATGTGGTTGTGAGGAAAAAAAGAAGTATGTGACTAGCAGCAGAAGTATCTTAAGATCCTTATGGTTTTTAAGACAAATGATCGTTCGTGTGTGTGATTGAGATGTAATTTTTTTTTTCTGGTCAATGGCATGTAATTAAACTTATAAAGAATACATGAAGAGAAGTATTATGCAAGTTTTGGTCCTCCACTCAGCATAATAAAAAGATTCTAGTGATGGAAAAAGAAGATGCTTTCTTGGTGTGGGTCCATTAAACAGCGGCTGCAATTGCTCGCACATTTTCACCTTTTCGAGGTACCATCATCGTAAGACAAAAAATAATCAACTTTTTCTTCAAATCAGGAGAGACTTTTGGAAATCAACTACGCTTCCAAACTCGGTGATGTCATGCACTACGTAGTTTCTCTTACAGAATCCAAATATGCTTCACTGGACATTATGTTTATTTATTCGTAACGTCTCTTTTTAAAATATTCTCATTATTTATTTATTGTTCCCCTATTTTTTTCATTAATGTAATATCTATGGCAAACTAGTCCAAATCTGAATATTTATTTGTCTATTTTCAAAATCTTTAGTCATAATAATTTGAACAAAAAGTATCTATATATCATTACTCCTACCATATTTATGGCTATATTGTAGATGAACAATCTAATATACTTTCCTAAAAGATCCGTATTCTAATTTTTTCACACTTTTTAATAAACACAATAAATTTGCATAGTTTTTTGTATTTATCTTCTTTCCATAATTTTAAATCAATCAAAAATCAATTAGTACAATTAAGTTTTTTGAAGTTTACAATTATTTAAGAAAAAATACATTGAAAATGTAAAAAATGAATATTTTAGAAACAATTTTTTTTTCTAGAATATCCATCTTTAAGGAACGGAGGGAGTATATGGTTACATTATAATATATTGGCTTATACCCTGCCTTCTATATTATACTAGATTTTATACTCGCGCTACGCGCGAGTCTGTTTTAATAATTTAGTTTAATTAAAATAACTTAAAACCAAAATATTAATTGAGTAATATAATTTTCTTATTTAAAATATAATCTTTAATTTAGTATTTATGTTTTCTTATAATTATGTTATCTTATTAGCTATTTAGTTATTTGTATTTGTAAATATAATAA